CTGCCAGCGGCACTGGTCTCGGTGGTGGTCGCGAGCGGCCGGTCCTCCGCCGCCGCAGCTCACGCCGCCGCGCGCGCCCGCGCGCGAGAGCAGGCCGCGCCCGCCGGCGGTGCTCGGGGGGCAGCGCATCCCGCCCAACTCCGACCTGGAGCGCAAGCTAGCCGAGCTGATGGCGCAGCCTGCGCCGTCCGCGCCTCGCGACCACGGGCGCTGACGTGCTGCGCGGCGCGCACGCGCGCGCGAGCGAGCTATGCCGACGTGCCGAGCAGCTGCTCGGTGGCGCGGTGGACGTCGTCGTGGTGGCGGCGCAGGGCGGCGGCGCTGTCCTCCTGCGAGAAGCCCATGGCTTCGAGCGTCTCGATGTGGTGCTGCGAGACCGTGCCCTCGGCAGGGTCCATCACGCCGACCGGGCGCACGCGGTCGTAGCCGCGCCGCGTGCGCGAGGCGCCGCGCTGGCCCGTGCCGAGCAGCGGGAGCACGTAGGTTGAGCACGCGGAGATGAGGCCGTCGGGGAAGTCGGCGCGGGACCGGATCGCCGGCACGCGGTAGAGAAGCCCGGCGATGACCCCGGCGGCGAGCGAGGGCAGCGACCGCGGCGGGCTCGAGCACGCCAGCTGGATGGCGAGGAGGTAGGCGAACGACTTGTCGGAGAGCTCCAGCGCCCCGAGCAGCTGGAAGTGGTACGTCTTGGGCGTCTCGAAGAAGAAGTGCACCAGGTTGGCGAACACAAGCGCGTAGGGGCCCGACGCCGGCGCGATCGTGGGCGCCACGTACTGGTAGACGCAGAGGAGCGCCGTGTGGAAGAAGGCCGTGAGGAGCGCGAAGAAGGCGTAGCGGGACGACCCCATCTGCCGCTCGAACTGCCGGAAGAAGTAGAGAAGAACGATGCCGAAGAGCAGCTCACCGGGCGTCGTGAACACAAAGTTGTGCGTCAGCAGACGCCACAGCTGCAAGTGCGTAAACACCTCTGCCAGACGCAGGGTCAGCCGCGTCTGAGACCCGATGATCGAACCGAACACGGTAGACAGCACCACCACGGCGATCGTCAGCTTCGTCACTGGTGCGTGCACGAAGCCCGGGTGCCCGGCGTTGAGCATTTTGGACGTGCGCGGCGGATGGAGGCGGCAGGGCGGCTTTGAAGATTGCAAGGGCGGTGGCTGACGTGCTTAAGTACCCTGCGTGCCGAGGCTAGTAGTGGCTAGTAGTGGCTAGTAGTCGCGGAGAAGGGCGGGTGTGACGGAAGCAGGGCAAGACGATTGGGGGCTAGATACGCTCGGGTGTTGTAAAAATCAAGTGATGACTTGAAACTGCAGACGCTCCAATGCTCGTGCGGAAACAATGCAGGCGGCCAACTGGGCACCTGGTCCACGTGCATCGTCATGACCCGTCATGTTCCATGTGGCGATGTCACTCTCTCCGCACCCAAACAGGATCACGGATCCGGTCAGTGGCTCACTCTGCTCTGTGAGCCGGAACTCTTCCGGCTCTCTTCCGGCTCAAAGAGATTTCCGGCTCAAAGAGACACTCCTTTCGCGTCGTCAACGCCGCCAACCAGTATCGTCTGCAAGTCACGCGGTGGGCCACTGAAAACATCCAAAAAACGCGACAACCACAGCTTGTCAGCTTCTTCGAAATAAATGTCATAGCGCACCCACTATAAAGTGCACTCCGCCTCCGCCGCCATACGCGGGCCCTCGCCCTGGGGTGGGCACGGCGAAGCATTCCCGTCGGAGCGAAACACACAGACCGGGGCCTCGCGGCTGCCGGCCTCCCCGGCGCTCTGGGCGAAAGTCCCCGGACGCGATGGCAGAAAGTGCGGGCGAGGGATCGCCGCCGCCTCCGCACGCGCGGTCGCCGAGGCTGAGATGGGCTTTTCCGGAGCCGAGGCCGCGCGCGGAGCCGCTTGTCATTGATTGTTGGCAGCGCCAGGAAAAGTTATGGGATGGATGCGTGAGCGGTAAGTTTTTGGATACGTTCGCTTCTGCGCTGAGCAAGCAGAAAGGATAAGGAGGATTGAAATGCCTTTGTGCTGCTCCAGTCCTAATTCACGGGCCCCACTTTTAACTCCCGGGGTCATGTTGAGGAAAAGCACGTCAGTCTGAATCCAGTGGTGATGCCAGCTCGGTGATGCCAGTTTATGACATGGTAGGCAAGGTCTTTGGAATGACGGTACTAACTTGGAGATTCTACACCCTGTTATTCTTGTCGTCCTTCGTAGGATGCGACCGTTACGACGTAGCCGCGAACTTGTATATCATAGTACGAGGTAGACGCATAAACTCAATGGGGCTTACTCTTGCCGTGTCCCTCGTGACCCAAAACATTTGTTCTTGTACAGTACCGTACTTGTCCACTGTAGGCCGATAACACTAATGAGCGATGGCACGCACGTGCGGATCTAATACATGTGTTGCAACAAGGCACGCGTACGCCCACGTTGCATCGCTGAGCCAGCAATTATCTCCCGCTTCCCTTCGGAAACCATCCTCAGCCGCCCTTCGGAAACCATCCTCAGCCGCCCTTGCACACTGCTGCGCCATTCACTACTCTCATTGCGCAATCTCACCCACCTTGTGCTCCCTCCCGCATAATTTCCGCATATCCTTTCCTTCCGCTCACCTTCGCTGCTCCTCCCCGCTGCTCCCCCCACCTTCGATGGCAGTCCAATCATCACTGAGACCTCAGCTTATAT